CATACCAAGGAGGAGTATTTTTCCTTACAATTCATTTCCCCACAGACTATCCATTCAAACCACCGAAGGTATATAAATTTAATTTTTAAATAATATCATATAATATAATAAAGCACAAATAGCTGATTAATTTTATACATGTATGTACAGGTTGCTTTTACAACTAGAATTTATCATCCAAATATCAACAGTAATGGAAGTATTTGCTTGGATATTTTAAGATCGCAATGGTCCCCAGCACTTACCATATCAAAGGGTGTGTAGAAATTTGCAGATATATCTTAAATAAGAAGATAGTGAAAGCTTTTGTATAATCCAAAACTTTAATATTGTACTGAAAAGAGAAATTGTTCTTTTCCAGTGTTACTGTCAATATGCTCCTTGCTCTGCGATCCAAATCCAGATGACCCTCTGGTACCAGAGATAGCAAGGTTATACAAAACTGACAGGGAGAAGTACAATGAATTGGCACGTGAATGGACGCGCAAGTATGCCATGTGATGCGCCAATCTCCGTTGACTTAAACATCTAAACGCCACCAACAAGCAGCCCCAGCCTATTGCCACTTATGCATCAGCACCGATTGAAATTAGCTATGGCTCGTCTACTTTCAAACTTAAGCCAGTACTCGGGCTCGAAGAATGCTCAGACAAACGTGATCGATCTGAAGTTCCCTTCGTCCTGAGAGGCCTGCGAATATTGAGACGTTGCCACAACGGCAATTGAGGCAATTTGAAAGGTGGTCACATAACATTATATATATAAATCAGGAAAAAAAAGAAACATGTCCGCTTTGATTTTCATAAATAAAAATGGAAGTAAAATATAGGAGAGTGAAAGTAGGATTTGTATTTGAATTTAATAGTTTAATTTCTAATTATTGTGCTTATAATACCGTAATATTATATACCTACTTTCTCAGTGAAATGAAAACCTTGAACTGACAGCACACCGATTGTTAGTTTTAACGCAAGTGAGCAATGTTTGCCCGTCCCTTGGAACGATGCGGTCACTTTTTTGTAAGACTGGGCTATATATAAATACTACTGAAACTATACCTGTATGTTTTGTTCAATTATTAAAATTCCTTACCTATCTAACAAATTCTACGAGTAACTCAAAATTTATGGTTTGGTTCCTGTGTGTGTGTAGTAGTTTAATTATGCATATCGTTAATCGATAAATTGGACTATACATCCTGAAATAATTCAAAGTATGCAAAGTAATAGAAAGTTTTGGTGACTTAACAGACCGCGACACAAGTACCTGCCGTTCATGGGCCCGTACGTAACTAATATCAATCAAAGGTATTCACAATTTCTTATGACATGTATTCGACATTATTCGGCTTTATTTACGCATGGAAAATGTAGTCATTAATGTCACTATTTATCGATAAATGATGAGAGCGAAATACATTTTGTTTGGATTCTTACATAAAACGCGTTACGAAATAGATAAGAAATGTTTCAATGAGCCCTAGAGCTTAACAATGGATTTGTAAAATCCCCTGAATTTATTTTATAATAGTGCGTCATTATATTATCAATAAAGTCATGCGTCGTACCTTGCGAATTAAGAATTCGCCCGTCGCTATGTTTTACTCGAATCAATGCGTTCACTATTGTTTTACTCGAAGCAATGCGTTCACTATTGTTTTGCGTGTAAATTTTTCTTTAAGCGATAATTTTTTATTATTATTATTTAGTACTTGTCTTAAGTTTCCTTTCCATCCACAATATAAGTACAGTACCTTCATGCTCTGTTATTATATTACAAACTCTTGTACCATGAGACAAACTGATCATTAAATAGATTTTATTCTACTCCTCAATATCTCGATACGTTTTCAACCATTACATATTTTTCATATATTGTGGCTGCAAAGGATAGCAGTGAGATTTCAAATTATTTCCAAAATTTACCTGATACAATTTTTACGAGATGGAAGGGCACGTTGACTTTCGTGGCAACGTATCATTCATCGCTAGTTCGTTCAAACTAATTTAGAAACGACGCACCCCTCGTCGGTGCTAGCAGTGTTTCGGCTTCTACTCCTAGATAATGAATAAAATCCGAAATATCGTAAAGATGGTCACTTAATTAGAGAGTAAGTAAACGATTTTGTCTTACGAACGGGTAAAGTGCGTTAACGATCGAGTCTTGAATGTAATCGGTGCTTAAAATATGGCATGCTCACGGAGCGAGTACGAAGCCTAGAAAAGACAAATCGATTAGTATGTAATACGGTATATCACTTGTTAATGTCGATTTTGTCTTATACGAACGTGTACTGCTGTAATTTAATTACGAGTAAACGCGCGGCAAATCAGGTATTTAAATATTTGCTCCGAAAGTGGATCATCGTTCATCTCTATTAGAAGAAAAACTACTCATGTGTAATTAATTATTATTATCACATCTCATGTGTAATTATTATTATACATATAATTAATTAATAATTATTATTTTAGCATTAGCCCTTTATATAATAAATTTCACATAATGATAAGATATGCTCATTCTAATCTCTTGTAACCATGATCACCAACGATAAATGGACATCTTAATACTTTCGAACTTGTTTCAAATTTTACACGACCTTTAAATTCTATATTACTCTTATTACTACTCTTTTTCTTTCTACATTTCAAATCTGCAATTATACACCTTGACCTAAGTTAAAAGTCTGAAATCGGTAATTTAAGTTTCTCGAAGTAAATTTTTCAATAATTTCAAACAAAATTCGCTATTTGCGTAGAATAAAGAATGGCATAAGTATGTTTGCACCTTCTTTCTTAATTTAAACCTTCAAAGTAAAAAGAAAGTCACTATCCTTGGTGTACTCGATTGATCCGAAGTTTCACGACTATAGACCATCAGCGTGTAATAAACTTGGGACAAATAAAGAATCATCATATAATCGGAGTTCGAGGTACACGTTTGAACCAGCAGATGTCTTTGTCAGACTTTTACATAGGATGAACGTCTCGCGTATTCATCATGGAATCTTACGATATATTTAAAAAAAACCGTAGAACGGTGAAAGTGGTAATGCTTTCCCCCTTTTTCCCTGGCTGCTCTTGACCGTTGTACGTCTAGTTTACCGCAGTGTTGGCAGAAACCTGCTGAAACAGCGTAGTTAGCGATGGAGATGAACGTATCTTCATTCGATCAAAAAATTATAAAATTTTTCGACAAAATTCACTGGAAATACAGATCTCAGATAAAATTTGTTCCTCTTAAGTCGTGTTTAGTTTATTCCTATTGATAACATGAATAGCAAAATTAATAATATCTAACCTTAATGTGAATAATAATTTATATTACATTCATAAATAAAAAAAAAACGTTTATTCAAGTTAGATTTACACAAATTAAATACAAATTCAGTTTCTACAACTTATAGCTTATTATTCTTTATTACTGTAATTCCCACGTAGTAAATTTGTATAATCTTATAGTAATCACTTAAAGAATTGAGAGTTCAGAAATGGTACGGAAGAAATACATTTATTTTTAGTCGTAAAAATGAAATTACAGTAATCGTGGTCTTATAATGCTTTAGAAAGATTTTTCAGAAAGAATTTTGTTTAAATATGTTATGATTAAAACTCTATTTTTATAACAATTATAATCTACTTTACTTCGTTGGTAAAATTAAAATTGTACGATGTAAAATCACCAATGAACATTGTAACGTTTTTTAATTAAGTATATAGTAAAAACAGTGAATTAGTAATAAGTAATGTTAATTAAGAATAAGTCGAATAACAGTTAAAACTTTTGTTGTTAGTTTTTCTAACATGTAATTTCTTCTTATTTATTACTTATTGTATTTATATTTTCACTTCTTTTACTATAAGTATTTGAAGAATTTATTATCGCAATTTCATCATCTTGCTTACTTGTCTTTTTATACGAAATAAGGGACAGTGTGTACATATGTAGGCCACAAACGAGAGTATCCTACTTAGATTGCTTCAGCCTTTGTAAGATGTTTATCCTCTTAAATTTTACAATATTGTATACTAAATAAGCTTAAAAATTTTTATGAATTTTAATGAAAGTTAATAGACTCAATACACAAATTAGTTTTCTTTTTTGTTTACGTACTATAGCAGATGTATTCCTATTATCTAAAATCTTACAATAAAGAGAGTAGAAAGTCAATTTACAAACTCCTATGTGGTCCAGTGATATACGTTAACTGTTTCATTAAAATTTAACGTTAGTAGTCTGGAATCTGTTGTTAACCTGTTTCCACACTTTCTGAAAATACATCGTCTAAAAATTGTTCACAATAATACGAGTGCCTGACAATACATACATCTTCATCGATTTTACGATAATGTAATTTTCTTTCAATAAATCGATGTTAATAAAATGTCTAACAATAAATGTTCAAATTGAACCAATTTGTTCATTTTACACAGAAAAGTTTGGAAATTTATGAAATGAAAGGAGCAATATTTTTCAAAAATAAGAACAAGCAGTATGAAGAAATATCAAACAAAAAGAAATTAAATATAAAATAACTATATTTTCATCTAAATTTGTTCTAACAATTTATTATTAAATAAGCATTCGAGAGTTTCTGCTGTAAGTAAAAAATTCACTAATTTATTCTGTGTATATGAATTTAAAAATTTCTGTTAATAATAAACGCAAAGGTGTGAAACATTTCTCTTGCGAAACGGTAAAAAAGAAAATATCGGAAGTGATCAAAAAATAATAATATTTCAGTATTGATAATTAACGCTGTAATATAATTTTCATTTCCCTCGAAAGTACATAATGTATCAAGAAACATTTCTTTGTCATTTGTAGGAGAATCTAATTCTGTCTAAACAAAACTGACTTCGGAGACTTGTTTTACGACTGTTCAAAACCTATAAACATGATTCGAAGACACCCAGTAGGTAATTACAGTAACAACAAAGGAAACTTCGTTCAATTCCTTGCAAAACGCGGTAAGTATATACCAAGGACTCGTATAAAGACAGACTGGAACGAAGACTCGAGCCCATCACTACTCTGTAGTACGAGGACGTGTTTCGATCTATCGAGCGGCGCTTTGGACCGTCTGGTTGCGGTGTGGCTTATTCAGTGTCAGTGCTGTTCTCGGCACGCACGGCGGTCGATGAGGGCAAGGTGATTTGCTCATGAATACGCGACCGTCGAAAGAATGTGTCGATAGATCGACGACCGACTGACTTCCTACATCGGCCACGATATTTTCGAAAAGTGGCTTGCGATCGCTCGAGATACGTTAACCGTGTGAGAGGTTCGTAACTATAGACGACACGCCGCAAACCAAAGTGGTATGTAACGTTTAAAGTAATATCAGTCAAACGATGATCTTCGCGATTATTGTCATAGCTTAACAAAGGGGAACGTTCTAAATCATTGCAAAGTGGTGTATATCATGCTGGAATTGCAATTAACGAACGTATACGCCGCGCTGTCGCATTCAGTCGCCGCATTCACGCTTTGTATTTACGAACAAACGCGTGCATTTGTTCACTGTCTGATTCTTAACAGAGAGTTTTCACTGACAAATTACATCGTGTTACACGACCGCGGGCAGTAAAGTGACAACGTAAACGAGTCGTATATTATTCGCTGTCGTATTCTTTACCGGCGTTGTACATAACCTGACGTTTTACTCGAAGGAAATAATGGATGTGGGAAAATGTGTTTGTTGTTATTGGTAGTAGAGGACGAAAGTATTTCCTGTTAACATCAGTAGGTTACGTATGTTTCGTGCAAATTCTTTCTTCTTTTCAAGGGAGTAAGGTATGCGTTTTTATGTTACTCTTAATGTAACTTTGCATTTTTCGTGCGTTACGTAAGTGTCGATAGAAATCGAGTGAAATACGAGTGTAGATTAACGGCGACGAAAGAATTTTTCGGGAGCGTATCTTATTTGAAAGAAAAGTATATCGATTTTCATTCGATTTCACATTAAAAGGTACAAATTTCATTTTGCATGAAAACGTTCTTTCCTTAGGCAACGTTGTTAAAGAACATTTGGTAATATTAATGAATATTCATACGTGCATCGAATATGTGCAATATAGACGCGTATGTAATTTGGTAAGAGAGAAACACAATTTTAAAAAGTCTTTTTTCGAAATGTTTATACTTAGATATTCCACTTTTACATAGATATCTGAGCATTTAGATAAGCGTGTTTTACGTATTTCACCTTGTAAACAAACATTTTACTCGTTATTTTAATTATGCCTACGAACACAATATACGGAACGGAGAATATGAATATTTATTAAAAAAACATATCACTGTAAAGTTACTTATCTGAAATTGCTAGAAGAGCTAAAACGTTTAAAGTAAATATTTAAATCGAAAAATATTTTTACATAAAACGTCACCTAACAAATTACACCGAAAGCGTCTATTCTACGAAAATTACTTTTGAAAGTAGAAGCAATGTAAATTGTTGCCGCGATATTGATAAGAACAGTGAAACTACTTATCGTTGTTTTAATTGTCTCTAACGAATGGAAAATAATCATAGCTACGGAAACGTATGTTTTAATATCGCTGAACCAAGAACCGGGCAGTTATACTTTTGAGAAAACGGAAACGCAGTGTCTTAACAGGTTCCGTACAGCGCCTTCAACTTTCTCGTAGATTAAATGTGAAAGATCATTCGGCACGCGAGAGAGAGAGTGAACAGATACCTTGCAAACGCACAAAGTGTAGTCAGTTTCGCGGACATTCTTTGTCGAATCGGTCTCGAACGCGTTTACGACTAAAAGTATCCTCGTTTGCAACCGAGTAAAAAAGTCCAGTTAAAACCTGTTCCTTTTCATACACAGTATGCATTCGTTCGAAAGATGTATCGTACAAAGTTGAGACTTTGAAAAAAAAACCTTGAAACTGAGGAAAGTTGAGACTTTAAGAATGCTTTATTTACCAGGTTTTAATTCTCATTCTCCGCGGTTTTGTCATTTTCTTATTACGTTACATCCGTCCGACGTTTAACAGACTCCTTCTCGACGGCACGAATTTCTAATTCCGTAAAATTCTACGCAAGAAATGGCAATTTCGTTTTACAACATCTTTCTATGTATCGTTAATTTCGCGAAATTTCTTTTCTCGCTAAAGAATCGCGTGTTTGATGGATAATCACGGAGACGAGACTTCCACCGATCAGACGTTCGAAAGAAAAAGTTTGAAAGCAGCTGCTGCTACCCTGTCAGACGTGTTGCATCTGTGACATTTGAACCGGAAGCTTGCAGCGATTGCTCAGATTGATAAAGAAGAAGTTGAAAAGCATGAATGCGAGGTGCACGATTGTGACGTGATACACTGAATGCGTTAATCAAGATAATTATGTAAACGGTACACTTCGAATGCATTTTTATTCTATTTGAAAACAATTTGAATAGGTCCTTTAGTAAGAATTTATTTAATGCCGCGCTAGACGGACTGGGTGTTTAAATTAATAAATACACCGGCGGCAGTGTGTGTACTTCTGGTTTAATTTTCAGGGAAATGCTTTCGAAAGTTGAACATGGAATATACTGAAAATATTCTTCGGTATTTTTGTAATTAGTTAAGGCAGTCTAATTTTGAGGGAAATGTAATTTTATGATAGTCTAATTTTAATACTTACAATCTATTTCGGAGAGAAATGCTTTGAAAATTTGAATATCTAATAAATTAAAAATACTCCTCAGTAATTTTACAATCATTTAAAAATACCAATTATCATTTGTTAGATATATTTTAACAATATAAAATAAATATTTAACCCTCTATAATTCAGTTTTTCTTGGTTTATGAGAAAAAGAATTTTATTTGATTAGGTACAGTTTCACATATTTCAAAATGTTATAATAGCAATAGTACAGCAATAAATGGATATGTAACTTTCATTTTACTGTGTTAATATTCATAAATAAATGCGACAAGTAGTAATATTGATTCCCGAGTGGTCTGTTTCATATGTTATATTATTATTACAGTATTACAGAAATTATTTTTCGCTTGGTTATTAGTATCGCCTTTTTTTTTTTTACTTTCTTTTACTCGTGACACCATTTTTATCATTCTCTTCCTTGTGTCGTACACTTGGAGTGTCAACTTTTATTATGCTTAAAGCTAGATCAATAACAGCACCTTGTCTTTGCACGTCGGTTATAATTATGCTATAATATTTCCTTATCCTCTTTACTTACGTATATAGCTGCATTTCGCATTTAACATCAGCTTTAAATATTATACTTTCAAGTCACGTGGCGCTATAGAGGGTTAACATAAACAACCTTTTCATTAATTCAGCACATCAGCTCATTTCATAGACAAATACTATCCTATACATTCACTCCCGTTCATAAGCATTGGGACACTGATTGAATGTGAATTAAATCTGAAGAGACGTTAGACAAATTATTGAGATCGAAAAGAAAATTATTCAATTTGTTTGTAATAGTGCGAGGAGTACATATATTTTTACTGATATATCGTCACTTTAACACTACCACTAGATAATTCATAACTCCATTCATATGTTTTTAAAAAAAGGCAATATTTAAATTTTCCTTTCTTTCCTTAATTTTCGTAAATTAATATTTTCTGGATAAGCGTATCAGAAGTCGTATTTTTCTTGCAACTCCAACAGTATTTGGAAATATTAAAAATGGACATCTTAAAATTTAGAAATATTAAAAATGGAGATATCAAAATATAGAAATATTAAAAGTAGAAATACTAAATTTTTAAAAGATAACTATAAAATCAACTCCATGCTCAATGGTGAAACTCGGCAATGAACTCAATTGTTCTACTAATCACTTTAAGATGTCTAATTGTACCATTAAGACGAGAACGTGGTACTAAGTTTGACGAAGAAGCATTGTACAAACACAATAAGCGCCCTCAATACTCATGACTAAATCATCACACGGAAACCATTGCAAATTTAAAAAATCTATTCAACCATACTCCGTATAAAAAATAACGAAACTTGGTCCTCTTCTGTTTTTCTCACGAATCTACCATATACGAGAAAAACGCTGAAAATTTTTACTAACTTTATATGTATAGTACTTTCGCTAACATAACAAATATCCTAATAACGTATGAAAGGTCCGATACACCTGTGAAAATATTTAAGCAACGCATGATTGAATTTAATACTTACAAACCACAGTGTACATAACTACACAAATATGCATATCCTCAACGTCCAAGAAAAAAAGGAAACTCTCTAAAACTGCTCCGCAAATAGTTCCACCGATTAAACGTGCCCGTAACATCCTGATTTCACACGCCTGATTGATTGAATAGCATACTTCCGACACACTTACTCTCGCATTTCCAGATCGGAAGGTATCGGAATCCTTTCAATGATGAAATTATTAGCAGGCGTGGAAGAGGTGAGCGACCAAAGTGAGAAGCAGTCGAACGACGATCAACCCCATAACAACAACCATGAGAAACAGCCGAAAACGGAGATCGTTCAAGAAACGGTCAAGCTGCTTACCGGCGAGGTAAATACCGATGTTACTTAACGCTGTAACGACGATTATCCTCTACCGGAAGCTATCTTTTCTTCTTTCTTTCTTCTCTTATTTTTCGCGTAGAAATATTGCGCGTGCAGGTATACGTAGTATTTTAGCCTGAACTTTCACTTTGGACGGTCCGTAATTACTGTTAGATCGGTTGCTGGTAGGCGCACTCGGCGATTCTATATACCTGGGCATGCTCCATTTCTGTTTGACGTCTAAAACTTGGGCTTTGCAAACCGTCGATATGCATTTGTGAGTATGTAGGTTGTTCACAGGCGCCTGGCGATTCCTCTTTGTTTGTTATTCGGGATGTATCAAGGCTAGTGATGAATTTCTAACGCAAGTAACGAACCATCGAAATGAAAAAGTTCTTCGAAGAGAATACCAATAACTTTGTCGGCTCGAGTTAAGTATTTCACGTTGTAAGAGATGAAGTAATTTTAGTAAGAAATTTTGCTGTCAAAGAAGAGCCGTTGAGAAAAATTTAGTAATGTTACTCTGATTGTTCGGTTAAATCGATAATGAAGATAGTGAAGAAGCGAGGAGGCACAGGAGGATATTTAATACTGTAATTAATTTAAATGGACAATATCATTTCCAGTGGGAAGAAGCTTTCTAATTGTAATTGAAAAATCATCCGTTGCGGGGAGAAAATTGATGAGATATTGCGTTTGTGTTGAATCATAATGATTATAAAGAGATTTATTATTATCACGGTTTTAGAACTGTATTAGACATTCGAGACACGCTGCAATTATCGTAATACACACGGTCAACAACACGCATGATTATACTTGTCACGGATAGAGGAAGTCGCAGCCGCTGGTACCGAGTAGTACTGAAGCTGTGTACGTGTATGTATACCGAAGTGAAAAATCGATTTCGCTAGTGAAAGATATAGAAAAGATGGAGAAGAAAGCCCGTGGTATAAACTTGACACACTGAGATGAAAGGCAAGTCCCGTTGCGGCCTACTTTACAGCTTTCGTATCTCGAGATAGCGGCTAAATCTTTGCTGCCACATCCTCCAATCATTTATGCGATGTAATTGCGATGGAAACGATCGACGGACTGTCTCCGATTTAGTTGAAAAACACACACACTCTTCATAACTGAGAATTTCTAAATTGCAGAAAGAAATTTGACACACCGTTGTATTTAGCTCAAATGCTGTTAATTGAACGTAATCTGTGAGTTAGATCTTTGTTCCGGTTGTGATACAGCGTAGAATTTTTGTAGTTGAGCATTAGGAGCAAATTGAAATATTTTGGGAGATTTATTAATTTTTTGTAATATTACACCGGTACACTTTTGTACGCAGAATGTTAGGAAGAGTTGATCTAACGAGGGAACTGATAAGAAGGGAATACAGGAAGTGGTAATCATTGATTTTGATGAAAATTATTATATAGGGAAAAACATGTTCGACGCGTATTTCTTGAAAATGTGAAAATCGCCCTCAAAGTTGAAAGTAGTTAATATATTTGTTAGACATAGAAGAATAGTGTACTTGACAAATATGAAAAATAAATAATTTTGACCAGGTATGTTTATTACTCTCATCTTTGAGCGGGATTTTCACTTCTTCGATGTGGACGATTGTCGATAAAAAAAAATACGTGTCAAAAATTTTTCTGGGTACTATTATATACCAAAGTTTCATCAATATTGGTGATTATCACTTCGTGACGTTCCCTTGTAAGTAAAAAAAAAAGAAATATTAAAATAAAATAAAAGATAAGTGTAATTACACTTGTAAGAAAATTCGTGTCGTAGGTTGCTAAAACTTGTTAAACAGTGAAGAACAGAGCTATAGTCTGATCCAGTTTTGTAGAATTTGTGTATTTGAAGATCGATGAAAATAAGATTCCTCTGTTTACAGTGTTAGTTGTATTTCTTTCTAGGTGTATCGTAAGTCCTCTAAAAAGTTGGAGGATTCGCCTATTAAAGGTAAAGTCACGCCAGAGGATGAAGAGAAAATGAGACGTCTTCTTCCTTACGAAAAAGCTCCCGAGTATCTTCAGCACAATCCTTATATTCTTCAGGGATATCGAGGGTACCTTACTACAAAATTATGTATCGAAAGGTTTGTATGTAGTTTAGCTTGAAATTAATATTATTTAGAATACTGTAAATATTTTAAAAGACTATTGTGTATCTTTTGCAAGATCTCACTAATCGTTTATAATATCTTTTAAAATTAACATTGTTCAGAGTATAATAAATATTTCAAAAGAATAATATTGCCTTT